GGGAGCTTCCGGGAGTCTGGGAGTCCCGGCCCTCGGGCCTGGCCCTCGGCAGGTTCACGGGCCCGACAGCCCGGCGGGGAGGCGGGATGGTAGGTTTGGAGTAGCTACCCTGGCAGGGCCCGAGCGGGGAAGGGCTGTGGGTTGTGCCGTAACCGCTAGACAAAAACCACGCACGACAGAAGCGAATGTGAGGCAGCACCGATGCGTCACTTCCTGCTAATTGTCGAACGTGGCGTAATGGAAAGATGGCACAAAACAGCGGCAACGTGCGCCGGCACACTGGCGGATCCAGGGGGGGCCACCGGGGCCATGGCCCCCCCCCAAAAGCCTGAAAGGGGGGGGCCAACATATCTTTTGGCCCCCCCCAAAACGCTTGAAGAAAAATTAATGTGAGATGGTTGCGTAGTAGATACCTACTAGAATCAGCAGCGTGATTCAATAGCGTAGAGAAAGTCAGTGGTGCGGGAACTACTTTCAGACTGGGGGGGGGGGGCACACCATAATAGAGGTCAACCTAGGGTCCCCCCAAATCTAGTTTCTCACCGGTTTTAGGCCACTTATTTTTCATCTCTTGGCTTTTTCAACAAAAAAAGAAAACATTTGCAAAAAGGGCGGTATTCCGTCTGAAAGTTGTGGTGGCACCGCCCCCCACTGGTGGATTCAGGGAGGGGGCCACCGGGGCCATGGCCCCCCAAAAGCCTGAAAGGGGGGCCAACATATCTTTTGGCCCCCCTCCCAAAACGCTTGAAGAAAAATTAATGTGAGAAGGTTGCGTAGTAGATACCTAAAAGTTAGAATCACCGGCGTGATTCAATAGCGTAGAGAAACTCAGGGGTGCGGGAACTACTTTCAGACTGGGGGGGGGCACACCATAACAGAGATCAACCTAGGGTCCCCCCGAATCTAGTTTTCTCACCGGTTTTGGGCCACTTATTTTTCATCCCTTGGCTTTTTTCAACAAAAAAAGAAAACATTTGCAAAAAATGGGGTATTCCGTCTGAAAGTTGTGGGGGCACCGCCCCCACGGCCCCATAGTTGGGGGGGTGGGCAAGCTGTCCCCACTGCCCCGGTTCCCGTGCCTATGGAGAAACCACCGGGTTTACTAGCTTCCTTCATAAAGTGTCGTCATGTCTTGTCGTCACCCGAGAAGGTCTTATTGCATACATATCGATTGAACTGTCAAGTTAACAAACTTGCTCTGGCAGCCTGACCTGACATGAGGACCCGGCAATTTTTCATTCACGGAATATGCGCAATAATTTTTTTTAGGAACACTCACTGAGTTGGCGTTGAAAAGCTTGTTTTGTTTGGTAATTGTACAAGAAGCATATCAGGGACCTTTTTGTCCCTTCCCGTGAAACGGTAAAAGACTTATTCCGGTCAGAACTCAGGCCAATCTCTAAGGGGTCAGTCGGGTCACTTATTTCTTAAAAGGGTCCTTACGGCATCCAAGGACCAATTCCGGCTTTTGAGTGCACCACATCAGCATTTGATGCTGCGACAGATGGTGAAATATGAATATATGTTACAGGCCGTATGAAAATTGTCCGTTTGCAAACGGCCTGGCCCAGTCAGGGCATATGAAACAGCCTGAAAACACCGGCCGTTTGCAAACCATGACCTGAAATATCAGACCGTTTGAAAACGGCCTAGTTAGTTTCGGCCTAGCGGATCCAGGGGGCCACGGGGTCATGCCCCCAACCCTGAAAGGGGGCAACATGTATTTTGGCCCCCAAAAACACTTAAGAAATATGAATGTGAGAAAGTAGCGTAGTAGGTAGAAACTACCGTATCATTAAAAATATGTGAGCTTGAGTGTTGGTCTCGTCTTCACCCAAGAAGTTCTTATTGCATACTTTACCTCTCGATCGACGCGTGAAGTTATCGTGTAAGTTATCATTAATCCGATCGCGACGAAACTTTAGCACCCTCATGTTGACAAAGTCTGAAAATTTCATGACCCTGACCCAAGTGACCTTTGACCTGTGGCCTTTTTCTCGAGACTATGTTTGGCCATGTTTGAGGCCATGTTTGGCCGGAATCGCGATGCCGCGTATGTCGGCTCACATTATCCGCTCGTTTACAGTCTTTTCGTGGTTTAAAACGCTCAAACATGTGAAATGATGTTGGTCCCAACCATTGTGGTAGGTGTCAATGTCACCTTAGGGTCAAGTCAGGTCATTGACCTTTGATGACCTCGGTGCACTTTTCCGAGTTTAACATGTTTCTAGGATAGTTTCGTTTAGCTGATTTTGAATTTAGCATTTAGCAACCATTTGAACATTTACGAAGTAGTTTTGATGCCTTCGTATCATGTTACGTAGCTGCCAGTGGTAGTCGGACACCTGCTACACGGACGCCCATAAGTACTGGTTGACCTGGTTGACCTGACCTGGCCTGCCCCGACATGGCCTAAAGGCATGAAGACATCAGCTATGATCCAAACTAACATGAAATTCGTGATCAGCACAAAAAAAATCTATTACAGCCTTACTTTAGGAGGTTCTGACAGGCCCTGATTTTCCCGTCTTTTGGGTCTGTGACCTGACCTGGGCGGTGTTTCACGGCACGCTGCCAGCGCTGTTGGCACTTTTGGTTTCCATGGAGACATCAACTAGCCTATACCTACAACACTACCGAAGGTTGACCTTAGCTCGCGGAATGCGCTGGCAGCGGCTGGCAGCGCGACCGTGAAACACCGTCCTGGAAGGTCAACCAATGACCAAGGACCTTAAAATCGGGTATCATCGGCTTCCTCTCGTCACTCACAGGCAACACACTCGTTTTTTTTCCGCGAGCTCTAGCTTGATCAGGGGCCGAACGGCAGAGAGGTTCAACCGACACCTCCCAGCCCGCGAAGGCTGCGCCAAGCACCGACCCGGAGCGGTGGTCGACAAAAGCAATTTGAAGTGTTTTCAAAGTAATATTAAGGCACGGGTTGAGTGGGCTACCATTTCTCTCTCTATTTTTTTTTTTAGTTTAAAAAAAATTATCGTTTCAGGGCTGTGACGAAAAATAAGTGGCCTAAATCCGATGAGAAAACAGGATTTGGGGGTACCCTAGGTTTGGCTCCTTGCACGAGTTGCCCCCCCCCCCCCCAAAATGCAAGTCTGGATCCGCCAGTGCGCCGGCATTTCGCGCCGGTGGGGAGTGGAGGCGGGGCAGATGGTCGGCTGACGTATGTGATTCATCGAATGCAATTATTGTGGCGGACTAGCACGTCAACTCCCAACATTGACACATCGCTAACGTTGGGCATTTCCCGTCGTCACAGCTCCAAAAACGCCTACCACCAATTTGATAGCATCCGCTTCACGGAGAAAAGGCCCCAGCGCGTGTTTTCACCGCCCCGCTGACGGTGAGTCACATTAAATGTGGCGCTATTGTGACGCAAGCGTGACTTGGCCGGCGCAGGTCGCGGTTAGCGCCAGCCTGCCTGGCCTCGATTTGGCGAACTCATCCCGCGTCGTTCACCGCACGATTTCTCCCAGAAACGACGTACTCAACCGCTCTTCATTCTTCAATCGTTCACGAACGCTAATCATGAACATGATCCATGATCGTAGTTGGCTTTGAACACCATGTTTTAGCAAAAGGTCAATCGAGGATATTTTATAATATGAATTGACGTATGCACTACACATTATATAGGTAGTCGTGTACAAAGTACGTAAGATGCACGTCAGTTCGACGTAAGAGTGTTTATGAGTTAGGTATGGGAATGATGTTGGTTACCTTTGGTAATGCATCACGATTCACGAACTAAATTGGGCGTCGTGATGAAACGTATCTGACAGAGCCAGCTTCCATTGTTCATTCGTCACCGGGCCAGCTATCTGTCATGTCACCATTGAGAAGTTACGACAAATGGACCGGACAGGTTGATGGGATATATCATAATTGACATTCGTTGTGATATTTTGGCCGTATCATATTGCGTCATGAACAAAACCATTGATCGACACCTTCACAATTCACCAGAAAGATGCTCTTTTCCACTTGTCGTCCGTTATTACGGAGCGAGCGAAGCGAGCGTAGTCTTTCCTTAGATTAACGGAAATTTCTTAGTATGAGCGGCCGGCCGGCCGGCCGGCCGTGGTCACGCTTTTGCGAGGCTTATATCTCAGCAACCACTTGACCGATTTACACGCGGTAATTTTTGTAGGGTAGCTTCATTCCTTCTACCAAGTATTGGACTATTCCTGATGCATGTGGGTGACCCCTTATGCACGTGCCACGTGCAAAACGAAGAAGTGTCCGTTTTGTAATTGTTGCAATATCTCGGTAACTACTTGGCCGATTGCGCTGTAAGTTGGCATGTAGGTAGGCACCCACTAGGCACTGCATATCATAGTCACCGTGTGCATATCCATGTGCCAGAGTTGGGGTGCTGCTGCACGTGCGCACGTGCAGGGGTCGTTTCCAGATCTCGAGAACGGCTCGACCGATTGCGCTCAAATTTGGTACACAGTTAGGGACCGGTTAGTAGGGTGCCGTGCACAAGTCAGTTGGGACCCATTTTGCACGTGCGCACGTGCAGGGTGCCGCTTCCAGATCTCGAGAACGGCTGGGCCAATTGTGCCCAAATTTGGCACATCGCTAGAGACCGGTTAGTAGGGTGCCGTGCACAATTCAGTTGGAGGTACCCCCTCGCAATTTCGCACGTGCAAGGCCCACCCTCTCAGTCGCTCGCTCCGTTAGTCGCCCCAAAAGGCGTTATACTGGTCGTTTAATTGGGTTTGGGAACGATGAAGGCTGAAACCACTCATGCCAGTAAAATAATCGACTGTTTGCGAGATGGCAGTGCCATCAATCTGTTATGAGACGGATTGTCTCTGAGTCATTACCAAATTTTTCAATGGGTAAACCGAAAACTGGTCAAAACTCAAATCACCCAAATGATTTGAAAACACTTACAACTTCCCAATAATTCGACTTCGGATAGAATATTGCCCGAGCTCAAAACAGCACATTACTCGCACACTCACACCGCTCCTCACCTTACACATGTGAGACATGGCCGCTGCGTCTCCTTGAGCGCAGTTTCTGTGAGATCCTCCTGTTTCCCGGCTCCCGTTCCACGCCGTCGACCAGTGACCGTTCTCTCGGAGCGCGTCCGTCCGCCCCACACGACCGTCAGCGAGCTACTGGCGACACAGTCACGGACGGCGAGCCTGGTGGGCTCGTACCGCCCAGCAGCCGCGCGGCGGTGCAGCGGTGGGGAGGCACACAAACCCCCCCCCCCCCACCCCCCACCAACACACACACACAGCCGTATTAGGATATAGGCATGGGGTTCAGGGATTCGGAAAATGTCCGGTCGAGCTTTTGGCAGTTTTTTCATTTTCGACGAATGATTAATAACAAATTTCCTTTGACTGATATCAATAAGGAAAGCATTCCAAAACATATTGTATATTAGTGAGCGAGTTGCTAGACACCGCCTTCTTTCAACTAGGCTAAGTGCCGTAGTTGAAATAACTGGACGTGTAGGGTGAAGTCGTATAAGAGTACGCACTTAGTGGATTTCTTGCTCTCATTTGTTTAATATTTGAAGGAAAGAAAACGCAAATAGGGAATATTAAAGTTCATTGAATTAGCCATCAACCCATGGGGCAACAATCCTTCAGCGTAAATGGAAGTGGTCTAAAACTGACATTTTCTGAACCGTTGCACTTGCGTACTCTTACCATATAGGGTGTGTAAGTGTAAGAGTACGCACGCCAGGCGGGTGGAGTACGCAAGCATATGAAAACACACCTATGCAGCTTGCCCTGTCCAAATGCTTAACTTCAAACTCAGAAGGCATTTAAGTTAATTTTAGTATCCAAAAAGAAAAACATAAAATAAATCTTTCAAGTCTATAAATCAGGAAATAATCATGTCGCGTGTTTCTTAAAAAAAATGCACAATCAAAAAGGAGAATAGCTCGTATTTGGAAGAATTTCGGGTACGCATCTGCATCACAGTGCTCCATTGATGATATACTCGTACCTACAAAACAAACGTCATTGAGCGATAGATTAATAATTCTATATTTCTGTATATTCGATTTAATGTATAATTCTGCGTACTCTTACCCTCCTGAACAGTGCGTCCTCTTACCGTACATCAATTCGCGCACAAAACAACCCCGAAACGTTGTGCAAAACTTCGCAAACAGAATATTGCACTATACAGTATTTCCCCAGATAACCTCACAAGTTTCCCACAACAATCACGGTGATGTACCTTATCTCAACTGACAAGTATCAAAATTATTGTACCATATCATAATAATATCATAACGCTCGAAAATAATATTCATCGCCTTAAACTCAACAGCGTCGCCGCTCAACGCCCACGTTCCGTTGGTGACATGCACGCACTGGCGGCTTCATGTCACTTCATGAACTCGACAAACCCGCGTTGCTAAGCAACCGAAACAGCTGATGCGTACTCTTATCGCCCGCGTAGGGTAAGGTGCCTAATTAGCGACCCTTTCCGATTTGCGACCTACCTCCCTACAGAAAAACTGGCAGGAGAAAACGGGGTAAAACATCGTCAAAAGGTCAGCCATACTTTGGTTATCAAATTAAATTATTTTCCGGTCGTCGATGTTTCTGGTGGGACGTTTCAGGTGAGTTTAAATAAAAATGACGAGTTTCTTATCCAAAAAGTGTGTGTTTGGGCCCTCTCTGATGAAAAGCGATGCACATTAGGATGATGCACCTTTTTTATTCTGAATCGACATTCCTTTTTCAATTGATTGCCGTTTTCCCATAGTGCATCGCTCAACTGTGCACAGCATGGCGGTTAAAAATGTGTCGCAACTCATATTTCCTATTTGCGCCTGACATGGTCGCAAATAGCTCAAGAAGGGAAAGAAAGGGGAAAAGGGAGAAATGAAAATGAGGTGTTGCTGAAGCTTGCAATGTGTGGCAGGGGATGCCAAATGTCGTCACCGACTGCAGGGGTGCCGAATTCAGCGCGGACCTCAAATATCATACGAGATAGCCCGCAAAATTTGGGTTTCCGCCTTCTTTTCGCCTTCAGTGCATCACGTGATCAGTTTTTACTTACGTAAATGTGTTGGATAAACGTGCATGTTCGAGTGATTGAGTGCTTTGCGTATAGGTTACCTTTTTGAGATCATATTTCATCTTTTCAGGCGTCGCATTTTTTGCCATTTTTAATATGGGGAAACCCATAGACTTATTAGCGACCCTCCCCGGTCGCTAATCGGGAAGAGTTCCCTATTAGCGTTTTTTGCAATGGTCTGCCAAAATGCTCACTACAAATAAGTTAGTGAATATTGGGGCAGAAAATGACTATATTTTAATAGAAAAATGAACGATCTCTCCGAAAAACAAGTCAGTAGTAATACAGTGGCACCCACAGAGCGTGAGCAATGATGGTTCAAAGTAAGGGGGTCGCTAATTAGGCACCTTACCCTACTCTTACCCGCCCTTACCCTACTGTAAAATTACAAAGGAAGAGGAGATATGAAATTAGGAGAGGCAGCGGCTGGAAAATTTAGCAAACTTTTTCATGTGATTGAAGTTGAACCCATTTTGGCATTTTGATTATTTATGCGGTTGTTGTAGTTTGCGAGCGTTTGGGATATTCTTTGCAATTCTTGGGGGTATAGGGTAAGGGCGGGTAAGAGTACGCGGGCGATAAGAGTACCTACGCATCAGCTGTTTCGGTTGCTTAGCAACGCAGGTTTGTCGAGTTCATGAAGTGACATGAAGCCGCCAGTGCGTGCATGTCACCAACGGAACGTGGGCGTTGAGCGGCGACGCTGTTGAGTTTAAGGCGATGAATATTATTTTCGAGCGTTATGATATTATTATGATATGGTACAATAATTTTGATACTTGGCAGTTGAGATGAGGTACATTTCCGTGATTGTTGTGGGAAACTTGTGAGGTTATCTGGGGAAATACTGTACAGTGCAATATTCTGTTTGCGAAGTTTTGCACAACGTTTCGGGGTTGTTTTGTGCGCGAATTGCATGTACGGTAAGAGGACGCACTGTTCAGGAGGGTAAGAGTACGCAGAATTATACATTAAATCGAATATAGGTACAGAAATATATAATTATTAATCTATCGCTCAATGACGTTTGTTTTGTAGGTATATCATCAATGGAGCACTGTGATGCAGATGCGTACCCGAAATTCTTCCAAATACGAGTTATTCTCCTTTTTGATTGTGCATTTTTTTTTTTTAGAAACACACGACATGATTATTTCCTGATTTATAGACTTGAAAGATTTATTCTATGTTTTTCTTTTTGGATACTAGAATTAACTTAAATGCCTTCTGAGTTTGAAGTTAAGCATTTGGACAGTGCAAGCTGCATAGGTGTGTGTTCATATGCTTGCGTACTCCACCTGCCTGGCGTGCGTAATCTTACACACCCCATATGGTAAGAGTACGCAAGTGCAACGGTTCAGAAAATGTCAGTTTTAGACCACTTCCATTTACGCTGAAGGATCGTTGCCCCATGGGTTGATGGCTAATTCAATGAACTTTAATATTCCCTATTTGCGATTTCTTTCCTTCAAATATTAAACAAATGAGAGCAAGAAATCCACTAAGTGCGTACTCTTATACGACTTCACCCTATACCTATGTAAATACGATTCGTCTCTTATACGCCCAAAATGGCCTAATGCGATTTACAGAAGAATGGACGACACGTGTCGGGAAAGGGATTACGAGTTAATACCAGTAGCGGCGGAACACCTTCAATTAAGGAGGGGGGGGGGGGGGCACTGCCGACTTTTGGTCCCATTCTTTCCATGCAATGCCCATAGGGCTAATGTTAAAATGCCAAAATCAAAGGGGGCACGGTGCCCCGGTGCCCTCCCCGTTCCGCCGCCTATGGTTAATACATCAGTAAGATACTCTTCCGCTACTGGGAGATGTATGAAGTTGGTAGCTATACGTTAGTCGAACACGACGTGAAGTTTTACAACAATGTTCAACTAACTATACCAAATAAACAGCCTAAAATGTAAGAAATGTGACATCATTGTGTAAGGTAACGAAGTAAAATCCTGTATTCAAAGTATAGGTAAATAATTTTATCCAAATATGAACTTTGGATGAATCCTGCTTGATGTCGGGAGAGGGCGATGGGTCACATGGGGCATTCCACGTCAAATCAAACACCGAAATCCGTCATCCCCTTCGATTTTTCTGAAAATTTGTAGGCAGACTGGGCATGGTTCAAAACTGAGTTACGTGTAATATTTTCGAAATTTGATAACGTATCGCCGAGATATAGCTCATCGAATATAGCCAAAAATGCCACACATCATTTTTTTAAATGCTTATAACTCTGGTTCCTTTTCTGGTATCAAAATGATATTAACAGGGTGTTGTAGGCAATTGATTAGGCTTTGATTTTTAATTATAAAATTAAATTGAAGTGACCTTGAAATGCATTTGACCTTGAATTAAAACAGAAAAATTTAAATAGCAAAAAACATGCCACCTTCGATTTGAGTAATTTTTACATATTATGTCCGTCACAATGTTCCTAACCATCTGTGAAAAAATTGGAGTGGGCCATTCATAACTTTCGCGGCAAACGCCGTTTTCATGCATCAACATCACGCAGCCGCGCGTGACCTTGAAAGACAGAGTCAAGACATGCTTGCTTGTGTACACTTTCTGAAATGAATGATTGCTGATTAGTGATATCCCAAACTCTGCGAGAATGTAAATGCATAGTCATCGTAGTCAAGCATTCACGTTCCATTGTAAAAGTGTCTCAGGCAAACGGTATTTTGCGGTGAATTTTGAGCCGTGTGGAAATGCATCATGAAATAAATTCAACGAAAACATTATCACGCAACGATATCTTCACGTCTTTTGATCTTCACTATATGAAAGAACATACATTTTTGAGTATGTATGGGGAATTTCTAGTTAATCCGATAATAAATATGGCAGTTAGAGTCCTGCTAAGAGTAACATGTCGCCGGCTGAGGCGGGATCGGCCGACGCGGGAAACGCAGCAGTCACAATTTTGTGTTTACACGTTCATATTTCAATTGTTTACCAACCTATTTTCAGAATTCTTTCACCATAAGATTGCCTGTACATTTCTTAGTCTTCTCACAAAATTTGATGCGAATCGAACGTAATCAGCGGTAAGGAGCGCGATGTAAAGACGGAACCGTTCCGTCCCGTCCCGGCACAGTCTACAATTCAGGCGGCGCGTAGCGGTCGGCGCCGGCTGCCGAGTCGC